CACTTTTTTTTTTTTTTTTCTGATAATTTCTATTATAAACACATTAACAAATATTTACCCAAAAAAAAAAACACATTAAGAAGTAAATTGAAGATAATTATTTCAAATATAAAAAATTTGCATAGTTATATTTTTAGCAAAATAAAGTGGTAAACAATTGCTCAAGGAACTAAAAATTTATATTAAAAAAAAAATTAAATAAAAATCACATGAAATTCATACATATGATCTCAATCGTAAAAATCAAGTAAAAAATTTCGACTTTTCGACCAATAGGACTGCAATCTAAATTGAGAGTCAAATCTTAGCCCTATTTTAAAATCTCTGTCAAAGTACTTCCGACACGATTCATCTCTTACAATCAAATGAGTTAAAAACTGAAAGTTGGACAAAGTAATCTAGGACGGATGCATCCAATAACATCCCATGACAATCTAGCTCAACAATTGTGGCGCATGACAAGTAGAACTAGAAAGCTATGGTGGTTGTGTGCCGCCCCAAGAACCAGGCCGTTGCTTTCTGGATTGGACGATGATGTCGGTAGCTTTTCCTATCAATATAATAAGCATTTTTTTCCCTTGGTGTTGGTACATGGAGTGAGTGTAAGTGGGCATGGATGAGTGCGGAAGCGCCAAGCTCACACACTTGGAATCCCACTTGTTTCTTATGGAAGAGGAGAGGGGCCAGAAATGGCGAGGATGTGGTTAGGGTGTGGGACCCTGCTTTATGGGGACAAGTATGAGGTCCCAACACCAGGCAAAAGTGGTTGTTGCATCTGTTTTTTTAAAGACAAAACGACCTAATTCCGGTTAGACTTGGCACGAGGTCCTTGTAAGTGACTTGGCCTTTTCCTTCTCCTTCTCAATGACCAAGACATTTTCCTTACTCTCATCTCCACCTCCATCTCTTTTTCCCTTTCTCTCTCTCTTACTAGTCTCCATCTCTACTCTCTTCCCCACTAGTTTTTTTTTTTTTCCTTTTTCTCTCTCTCTTCACTAGTATCTATCTCTATTATTTTTTTTATTTTTTTGGACAAGTCAGTAAAAAAGAAACCCATCACCGGTTTTTTCATTAATAAAAAAAATAAAAATTAACGTACAATCTTATAATAAAACAGTTACACCAAATAGTACACTTTCTCTCAGTACTCCAAATTCCCCTATTCACACTCTTTGGACCCCTCACTGCTTGCTCCACTCTTCACCCCACTAATCTCTCTCTACTCTCCACTTCTCCCTCTACTCTCTCTCCTATAAGTCTCTCCACTCCCATATGTCTCTCCACTAGTCTCTATTTGGAGCCTCTTTCGATCCCTAGGTGTCACTCCCACTCCACTCCACTCCCCTAGAAAGACAAGCGTTAGTTACACCCGCTACATGTCTTTCAGGAGTGACTACCACGTCCTTGTAAACAACTTTATTTTTATTCTCCGTGCCGCTCTCTCATCTTGGGGTTGGTACCTTGGTTAGTTACCTTCCGTTGGTGATTAGTTGGGGTTTGGCCGCATTGCTTGCTTTGATTTCTTAAGAATATGGTAACTGGGTTAATGGAACGAATGAAAGAGGCTAGCGTTGGCAATGGACCCGGACCCGACCCATACCCACCGGGTATACCTGACACGGGTTCGGGTATGGGTTCAAGTTTTGGACCGGCAGGTAGCGTTTGGGTCCAATAAAAGATACTCGCATAGTCTCGGGTTTGGTACAGGTCATGTTATACCGACCCGACAGGTACCCGAACACGAATTTTTAGTTCACCTAAAGGCCAAAGCCCCAACCCTAAACACCAAACCCATCGTCATCCTCCCTTTATGCAATTCTCCCTCTCTCAATTTCTTGGAGATATAGCTCTCTCTTCGGATCTTGAATGTCTCTCTCTCTCTAATCACCCAACCCTAAAAAATCGGTTCTATGTTTTTCTCCATTGTTTGATACAAAAAAGGAAGCTCATAGTGAGGGTGGCAATGGACACGACCAGACCCAAGACCCAACGGGTACAGGTATGGGTCGGGTCCAGGTCCAAAACCTAGACCCGAATGCATACAGGTCTGGGTCCAGCCCGAACAAACCCATACCCACCCCTAAAAGAGACCCAATGAGCCCTAAAAGAGTTGGACTTGCCCCGAACTGTGGCCCAAGGGCCTTGCTAGGATCAATGCCGGTCCGGTTTGTCCCTGTCCTACACTTATTTTTCCTTTATTTTTTTTTTCGTTTATTTTTGGTCTGGCCTGGCCCTACGAGTTTGGGCCAGCCCTATGGGGACAAAGGTCAGACTAGGGATGACAATACGTAGGTGGCCCGGCCGTCCGTAAAACCCATTTTCTAGCCCACTAAATGTATGCCAAGGGCCAGGCTAGGGCTATGACATGGCCGACCCAGCCCTCTTTTTCCTTGATTTATTCTTCTTCTTTGTCTAGTCTATCCCAGCCTAACTCACCCCAAATAGGGGTAGGGTTGGGCTTAGGCCAAGGTCTCATTGGCCCGATTACCAACCCTAGGCCAGACAAGTGAGGGGTAAGGCTGTTCCAGACCGGGACCGGGTCCAGGTCCGGGTCCGGCCGACCTCTTGCCATCCTTACTTCCAAGTTGTTCAGAAACTGACTTAATTGGAATTTTAAATGGGTGGCTCATTTATTGGATGGCAAGGGAGAATTTCGTCATTAACGCCCCGCAAGAGGGGTCGCTTGCTTATTTTAATCATCTGACTTGCAACAAACATGCTTCTATGAGTGGAGGAGAAGCCAAGTCCCTCTCTCTCTCCCCCCACACACACTCTCTATGTCTCTCTCGTGGGTGACGTGCGCAAAGCCTGTGGGATTTGAAGGCCACCATTCTACTACTCCTTGCTGTCTCGACCTGTACGCCTCAACTTATTTCCTTCCTTGAAGCTTTTTCTCCCTATGTTTTAGCATGAGAAGGCAATTCATTATAGGACACGCTTTTTATGGGGCCAGCCTAGCATTATGTAGAAATGCCGGCTCGGTAATAAACATATTTTGATTCTAATTTTTAAAAAATATATAATTTTTAACAAAGAGATCATAAATATAATAAAAAAATACATAAAAACTAGAAATGATAATTATATTATCAAAATATTGAGACTTTTAATTACAATTGTTTTGAGATAGACCACCTATTTACATCCATCTTTAAGTTGGATGCTTTATACATAAGGACCCATATTGTAGAAATGCAGTCCACCTCACATGAAACAATTTTTCTCATTACAAGGAGACATCCCTTCTCTCTCTCCTTTTAAAGACTTCCTCTTTTTTTTTTTTTTTAGTATTGGCAGGCAATTCAATATGTGGAAACATCTCCCCCTCTCTCTCTTGGGCATGTACCCCACTCTAGCGTGTACAGATATCTAGTATCTACCCTTAAGCTCATAATTCAGGTGTGAAGTAAGAGTATCTTAAGGAAGTTGGACCTTTGTTAAATAATTTAATCACCATCTGATGAATGATTATTGGGATAAGTCATCGCCTCTCTCGAAATTAATTGGTTAGATATGGTTCCTTGAAATTTCCAATTTTCAACTCTCAACACCAAATTGATCCTTCCCATTCATTTTTATTACTTTATGGAATTCAAGCTTTCAATGATTGCTACTCATGTGGGTGGTAAGTCTAGCAACTTCTTGTGCAGTGATTAGCTAAGTCAGCCATTTTAATATTTTATTGCATAACACATGTAGGTTGATATTGTGCAAGTCATATCTCCTTGGGTTTTTACTTTACAATCACTTTCTAGGAAAATGGCTTCCTCAATCTTCTTCTCAAGTGCCAAAACCGTTTGTGAAAGGGGAAAAGAAATGCGTCTCTTTATAGGGAATTGGTTGAAAGAATGCGTCTCTTTTTAGCTACTCCAAACACTAAAAAGCACCGTGCTTCTCGCTGCCAAGCAACACTCATGCTCCTCTCTCTCTCTCATGGTGCCGGTAAGGGTGGTAATGGGCTGCGTGGACCGGCTCGGCCCAGTCAGCTCGCCCTTAAAAAAGTAGCTCACGGGCCACTAAATGTGACCTGAGGGCAAAGCCAGGGTTTGGCAACCACGGCATGAGAGTAGTGTTGGGCGGGGCCTGGGCCGAGGTAGACCTGTTTGGGCCCACGTCAGCCCTCTTTTTTTTTTATTCTTTCTATTGTTTTTTTTATTTTATTTGGTCTGGGTAATAGTACTACAGACGGGCTTGGGCTAGGGCCAAAGCCGGGACATACGGGGACTAGGGCCAGGGGCAACCCGGGCCCGGGCCTGACCTGGACTATTGCTACCCCTAGGTGCTGGTGTCCTATTACGTGCCTTCCATACTTCTCAAATTTAAATTCTTCACGCTAAGCATCTCTCTCTCTCTTTTCTCACTCCTTTGACTTAACCCTCGCACTTCTCCAAGCAACGAGCGGGCTCCCCACTAGAAGCACCGGGTTGCCACTCACACTCAACAAACCCCCACCGAAAACAACATAAACAACGCCACCGCACACAACTCACACGTAAAATACCACTAAAAAAAAGATAAGAGAGAGAAACAAAAAAGAAAAGAAAAGGGGACGGCCGCATTTTCCGTGGTGTGAAGGGCCACTGCGGTTCCAGGCTTGCATTCCAATCTTGCGAGAATCACAGGCAAAAGGAGTGGGTTTGCTTGCAACTCAACCGAATCTCTTTTCACTTCTCCCTCTCTACTTTCTCTCTCTACAAATTTTTTTCTTTTTTTATTCCAACGAGTGAATTTGGGGAAGGGGTGGCATGCTTTTATCGTGGGGCATCGCCCGCCCACCACGTAATACTGAACCACTACTCTTAATCGCCACACCAACCGTCCGATAAAAAACAAACGGCCCCGATCAACTAATTAGCTCAGCTAAAATCTCACCCGCTCTTGTCATTTGCGTTAATATTAGTAACGATTCCGTTACTTCCCCCTTGCTTCAATCCTCGCCTCTCCTTCTCCCCACTTCTCTTCTCTCTCTAAACCCATCTACCTCTTTCTCTCTCTAAAAACACTGTAATTTGTTGTTTTTTATGGGAAAACGGAAGATAAGGCTGCCCTAATAACCAGGCTGCTTTTCACGGTTACTCTTCACGGGGGCGGCTTTGACTGCTAAGTGGCCCAAACTTCTCCTCCACCCACTCTCCCCCTCTCTCTCTTCCCCCACTATATATATAACCGGCCTCTCCCCTTACCCACCTCCAAAACCACTCTCTGTGTTTTCTCTCTCTAACTGTTTCTCTCTCTAAGTGCAGTTTCAATTCCCCTTCATCCACACACTCTCCTCCCCACTATAAATAACACCACCCTCTTCACTTCCCCACCCTCCAAGGCCCATCTGTGTCTTCTTTCTCTCTCTACAAAAGCCGCGCCCCGTGCTTTCTCTCTCTAAATGGAGGGCACAGAGGCGCCGCACTGCGCAGTGAAGGGGAAGAGAACGAAGCGACAGAGGCATCATCTGCAACACGCTCCCACCCCTTCCTCCCCCGCCTCTCTTTCTCTCTCTTCCTCCTCCACCGACCTCTCACTTTCTCTCTCTAGCACCACCACTGATGAAGAAGAGGACATGGCCAATTGCCTCATCCTCCTCGCTCAAGGCCCCAATCACCCTCCGTCCCGGAAATCAACGGCCACAAACAAATCAGGCTCCTACGAGTGCAAAACGTGTAACCGCTCCTTCTCTTCCTTCCAAGCCCTAGGAGGCCATCGAGCGAGCCACAAGAAGCCACGGGCCACCGATGAAGGACACGTGTCCTGCTACTTCGACTGCGCAGGAGCACCGAGCTTGAGCACGAGCACCAAGATCGAGGAAGGTAAAGGAGAAAATAATGGTAACAGCAAGGGCAGAGTTCACGAGTGCTCCGTTTGTGGGTCCGAGTTCGCGTCCGGTCAGGCGTTGGGCGGTCATATGCGGAGGCATAGGCTCGCGCCCTTGTCCGAGCCCACTGTCAAAAAGGGTGCGCTTGGGCTCGATCTGAATTTGCCCGCACCTGAGGACGAAACCGATAATTACGCCAAGTTTCAGGGCGTTTTCGGGGGTGGGTTCGTGCAATCTCAGCCGTTAGTTAGCTTCGCCGCCCTGGTGGATTGTCACAATTGAGGGATAGGGGGAAGGGTTTCAAAATCCCACATGTGAAAAAGAGAAACCAGTGTATAACTCTACTTAATAATCTTTGTAATTCTTTTTTTTTTTTTTTTGGATTAATTATTTGGATGGATGATTCTTTTATTCTTGAATGATGGGTTCTATAATTTTAGTGAATTGTTTTTAAAAGTGAATTTTTTTTCAATTTTTAGTGATTTTATTGTTGATAATCATGCCTCCTTGCTTACCACACTAGGTGGTGTGTAGTTTATGTTAGGATCGAACTTGTCTAAGTCTTAAAGATCCCTAAAGTATTAGTTGGGCTTTGTGTTTTGTTTTTGGGCAATTGGTTTGGTTTTTTTTTTTAATCATTTCTCTCTTATATTTGGTTTCTCTCTAGCGAGGCAACGTGCCCTAGGGTTCACGAAAGGTGGGTGTGGCATCTTGTTTATTTTTGGGGGCAGTTTTTTAGTCGATTGCCACACAAGAGAAGTGCGTGGCAAGGTGTAGCACTCTCCACCCTCTTTCTTGCTCTTTCTCTCTCACTAAAACTACTGAGAAGTCGTGGATTAGGTTGTAGGCTTTTTGTTTGGTCTACCTCCTCTCTCTTCTTCTTTATTAAATTGCTAAAAGTAGTTGGGCAACTGCCCTAAGCCGGACACAAGGGCCGTAATATTTGCGTATTCTATGTTTCTTGTGGAGGAAGAGAGAGAGGAAGTCATGCTTAAAATTAAAATTTGATGGTGCGGATGAGTTTTACGCAGCTTCTTGGAGTGTCATCCTACTCGGTTGTTTGTCCAACGTCTGTTTCTCTCTCTAGGCAGAGAGAGAATGTGTGTGTAATGATGACCACAAAGTTTTATATTTTATGGTGGATAAGGACTAGGTTTAAAAATAAAGATTGTATAATGAGACCATTCACAGGAGGTCACGATTGCCTACGACCATGTCGTAACTATATTACAACCCTCTGATAACTCTGATGTGAAATTTGATGACAACATGATAAGTATCTTATATGAAATTTGATGATTAGGATGTGTCATAAAGTTTGAAAAAAAAAATTTAAATTTAAATTTATAGCCATTTAAATTTCACATTCAATAGTCAAAATTAATTGTGACCAACTTGTATCAAAGATAAATAGTTTCATTATATATTTTTTATAAAAAGCCAAATAGGTGACTCCGATCTCTTATTTGAAAATCGAATCGGTGGATCAGCAATCAAACCAAGTGAATTAGGTGATAAAAAAAATTGGGAATAAAATATTCAAAAAAAAAAATGGTGTGTTGGTTTTAGAGAAAAATCGGGTAGTTCAAATTCTAATCGCCCAATTAGATTGGAACCCACCACTAGCTGGTTCCAGTTTTGGTTAAATGGCTTGGTATTTTAAAAACAAAAAAACATTAAATCTCAAAAAGTAAGGGATTTTGTTTGTAGTGTATTTTTTAATATTTTTTATCATTTTGGCAAAGATGGGAAATTGTTTTGACTATTAATATTTATTTTTATATTTATCATATTTTAAAAAAAATTAAAATACCTCTAAACATAAACTTATTTTTTAAAATCCATTTTTTTTATTAATCTTCAATTTTATTTGGATGTGCTTTATTTAATCATGTATTAAATATATTTTTTATATTTTATTTTATTTTATACTTTTTTTTAACATTTTTTTTACTGCCCTGTACTTATCCAATTAGGCCGATTGAATTGCTTCATGCCTATGTTCAACTAATCGTTCGGATTCAAGTTTTTTTACATTGTTTTAGACGCTTCTCTCACATAATTGAACAGATCGTGATACTTGGTAGGAACTGTATCGGTCCCGCCGATTAGGGATTTAGATCTGACAAATTCTAATCCAAATCGCTGTGTTTTTAAACCTTAGATGGGGGTATTGTGGCGACTAATGTAGTGCGTCTCGCGACGTACTCCTTGACTCGGTCTTTATATTAAGTAGGCCATTCAATCTCTTTGCTTTTTTTTCAATTAAAGATTTTTTTGTCCACCTGCTGTGTTTTGCCGGAGGTATATATAAGATAAAGTCAAAAAACATCACTTTGTATTTATCTGTACAACAATTGGGTATATCGTCCTTCAAGCTCTATTGTTTTTTGTTACATGAAAATGAGAGAGAGAGAGAGAGAGAGAGAGGGAGCACTGGTGTCTTGTTTGCTGCGATTGTACTTTAATTTCTGGATGATTCGTATAATGTGCGAGGCTTCTTTTCTTGAGAGGGACGTCCCCACTGGTTTGACGCCGCCAAAACACTACTGCTCACTTACTCACTCCGAATACTCAAAGGTTTTTATACTTCGACTTTATTAACGGGAAAAGTTTATAGAGAGCCTAGGCTCTAAACCATCGCTATCATAAAAATTTCACTAGAAGATGTTATTTTTATGTCATATATCCTCAAATTGATCATCTGGACATCAAGATGTATGAACATGAGAAAAAAATGAATTTTAAATTTTGGAAATAATATATTTTGTAGCACATTTTTTTACTTTTAATTTTCAAGATTTTCAAGTTTTCATAGATATGTCAATCTACACTATTTTTTAAATTTTAAACTTTAATAATAAAGATAAAAATATATTTTAAGGATATCACAAAAAAATTTAGTATTAAAACCATATTTCTCGATACTATTTGAAAGTAGGCTCTAATTTGATTGTTTAGAGCCTAGGCTCTATACAAACCGCACCCTTTATTAAAAAGGTGCAGTTGGCATACGGACCCTGTGTAGGTGTAGAGATACGGTGCCCTTATCATGGTATATAATTTTGATGTAAAATGTTATCAAGATTATCTTAAAATCTATTTTTATATCTAATTATAAAATTTTAAATTTCAAAAAAGGTTAAAATCAAGTAGATCCGTAAACATATGAAAATCTTTAAAATGGACGGTGTAGATAATATGTTGTAAAATGCACTATTTATGAGACTTAAAATCTTTTCATTTTTCATAGTCATACATCTCGATGTCGAGATGATCAATCAAAGGGTTTTTCAACATTAAAACTACCATTTCTGATGGATTTTTTAGGGGCATCTGTAGTTCTACATTATAAGGTAGCATCCCTTATATAAACGTTTTCCTTATTAAAACTCTATCTGCCATCCGGCCATCAAATTCAGATCAAATAAATCATTGACTACTTGATCTAGATTTGATGCTTACGAGTATTTTATTTTTAGGTTTTATTTTACAAATTATATGAATATGAAATTGGTACATGTTATTATCTCAATGGGGCATAAATAAAAAATATTAAAAAGATATTTTCAATAAAATGAAGTGACCAAAATACCATTGAAACTTTCTTTTTTAATAATTCAGTAGGGATGACAAGCCCCTACCTGTTTGTTTGAAATCGTTAGTGGTTTTTTAATACGTTAGGTGAGAATGTAATACGACCCCAACCCCATTCACGAAAATACTCTTGAAACTTTCAAGGGTAATTTGGGTATTTTATTTGCGAGTTTAAAAGAGAAGTAGCTGCCCAAAATTAAATGTCAAAATATTTTGTAGAAAAAATATTAATAATAAAACATTGTAGCAACATGACATTATAATTAGATCCATCTCAGCCGTTCATTCAAATTTGATAGCTAAATAAGGGGAAGTATATTAATACTATACATTAGGGGAAGTACAGAGAACTTGCCCATTTACACTCATCGTAAGAAAGACACATTGTGTTTTTACATGCGACAGAACACAGTTTAGATCAGTGTTTTAAAAAACGACGAGTTGCAACAGACTCACCCAATTCAATATGAGAATCGGTCACCTCGTGTTGATTCCACTGTAATATGCAGAGTCACTCGATTCTAGAGAAGAACCGACAAGTCGGTACAGTGAACCGCCCGAGTCGCCTGGTTCTCTGCAATGAACAGCCTGAATCACACATTTAATTTTAGGGCAAGCTTTCTATACTTCTCCTATAGCATAAAACTTATATAGTTCCCCTTATCCAACCGTTCATTCTGAATGGAGGGCTAAGATTGCCCCAATCACAATATCACGTCCCTATACTATTTTATTTTTTATTTGTATTTGTATAAACTATTTTAACACCAAACTTTGGATGTCCAATCCTCTATTAAACTCGTGCTAGCAAAAAATATAAAATAAAATATTTTCAATAAAATAAAATGATCAAAATACCCCTAAAAGTTTCAAGGGGTATTTTTATCATTATATTTTATTGAATAAATATTTTTAATATTTTTTTATAGGTGCACCCAATGAGAAGATTGCACGTACCAAATTTCGTTTTCATACAATTTGTATAAAAATAACTAAAAATAAAATACTTTGAGATATTGGATCTAAGATCAAATGGAGAGTGGCTCTTTTGATCAAAATTAGACGGCTGGATGATAAGGGAAGCATAGATATTCTATGCTGTAGGGGAAGTATAGAAACCTTTCTCTTAAATTAAAGCCCGAAAAATTGCTTATGTTAGTAGACCAACTTTCATACAACCCAACTTACATCAACGTGCACCAACGCACGTACACGTGGCCACGCGCCTGAGAGTCACCCGGTTCTAAAGAAGAACTGGCAAGTCACGACAGTGAACTGCCCGTGATTTGGCCGGTTCTCTAAAGTGGACCTCCCACTTCACACCCAACTTACGTTGGCATACGTGTGGCCCGGGTTCTCTACAGTGAACCGCCTACATGTGGCACCCAACTTACGTTAGCGTACGCGTGGCTGGGTTCTCTACAGTGAACCGCCTACATGTGGCCCGGTTTCTCTGCAGTGAACCGCCCACTTTCACGCCAAACTTACGTTAGCGTACGCGTGGCTGGGTTCTCTACAGTGAACCGCCCACTTTCACACCCAACTTACGTTAGCGTACGCGTGGCTGGGTTCTCTACAGTGAACCGCCCACTTTCACACTCAACTTACGTCAACGTACGCGGGGCCACGTAATAACAACATCGAGTTGTCTAGCTATTTTGATTCTTTTATACACCATCGAGTTGCATAGCTGGTTTGATTCTTTTATACCACCCGTTTTTCTTACGTCGCTTCGATGTGGGACAATTTTATGAGTTAGATAATGGAGTTAAAAAAAG